TTTCTTTCTTTCTTTCTTTCTTTCTTTCTTTCTTTCTTTCTTTCTTTTTTGCTTCTAGGGGTCCAGAAGACACGTGCTTTGAGTATGGAGTTTTTCCTGCTATTCTGAGTTTTCCTCTTGATTATCCTTTAAGTCCTCCAAAGATGAGGTTCACATGTGAAATGTTTCACCCTAACAGTAAGTTTTGCCAGTAGAGATGCGCTGTGTTTTCATATCAGTAAAAAAAAACCTGTTAAGTCTATGAAGTCTAGTATTATTCATTTAGCTTCTCCCGCCCCAAATTATGGCAATCTGAATCCTTTTTTAAATGAGAGATGGAATTTTTCAGTACCAATTAGGGTGTAGATTTTAAATTATTAACTATTTTGTTTAACTCTTTTGCTCACATTTAATTGATACACAGTTCTTCACTTGTAGATTCATTTTTTGTTATGAACTAGATTTTTAATTTTAGTGATTGCATCTATCCCACAGTTGATAATATTTTTCTCATTGATGAGCAACATACAGAGATATGAAATAAAGGTTATGTAACATCTGGCTGTACTTCAGGATACTTTTTTCAAACAGATGTAATTCCACAAGTGAACTAGGCTGAAGAAAAAAGTTTTAAAATAATAAATATATTACATATTTATCATATAGTGAGTTTGGCCTAGTTTTAGGGCACTAGGCTAGAAACCAGGAAACTATGACTTCTCGTCCTGCCTTAGGAATGAAAACCTGCTGAGAGAGAGACTTAAGTATGGCAATTAACAGTCTGCAATTACACAATAGTATAAAAGTTAAATAATATTAAATTTGAAATCTGGAAAATGTATTTTTTCCCAGAATTCAGGAATTTCATTAGTAATATTTATTTACTGTTTGGTCTACCCTCAATATCACAATCAAACAAACAGTTCCAAAGAAAAATACAGGATTGATGATTAGAGTTATTGGAAAGTTTGGTTGAACTATGTGTCTATGTGGTCACTAGTAGTTGAACTTGACTGAAGTAGGACTTTATTGTTAATATTCAAAATATAAATAAGAAAAATAAACATCTTGCATGTTGCATTCACTTCTAGTTACTATAGGCACCAAACACTTTGAATTGGAGTTTTCATTGAGATTTAGTTTTATAATGTGAACTCTTAATTCTTAATTTTAGCAAACAGTGTGTTTCAAAATATATTTTGATTTAGAGAATACTATTTTGTGAATGTTATTAAAAACAAAGACAATAAACAATATAAACATTAGAAGAACATTAAACATTAAGGATTGTTCTATCTGATTTATAAATTCCCAGATGTAATTTATTTTAAGGAAAATCATTTGCAGAGTGAATTCAGTTGTAATGATTTTAGTCAGTTTTTTAGGAGCAGAATAAAAATATCATCACCTTCTTCCAGCATGTTTTTAACACTTCATTCTAGCCTACAGCCATGGTATTCCTTGGTATTCTCTGATTCAGATACCATATGCACCAGGCCTGACCCTGTTAATTTTCAAGCCCAGACTAGATCAGCAAATTATTACTATTTACTGAAGCTAACTTATTTTAAATGCAGCCATAATTTTGGAAAGCCAGTTCTACACTTATTAACTCATAAAGACAGAGCTTCCCTCTTTTTTGTTGATATCTTGCTATTTTTTGATGAAACTGGTATTTGCCCCAGTACATGTCTTGCATTCTTCTTTACTTCTTTTATCTGTCAACTTTATTAATCCTATAAACAGCTATAAATTACTATAATACCATTCTCTGACAAAAATGAAAATATACAGGAAAGCTACAGTGATGTTTAACTCCAGCTTACAGAGAACTAGATTAGAATTGAAAGAGTATATAATTGCTGTCAGACTTCTCAACAATGTGCTAGATGAGATAGTTTCCATCCTTGATGGTAAAACTCTTCTTTTGTTGTTGTTAATATAGTCTCAAAATATAATTCTGTTAATAATTTTTATTCAATCATTATTGCACTAACTTGAAAAAATCTTCCAATTTTATTGGCTGATCTTTTCAGTTTATCCAGATGGGAGAGTTTGCATTTCCATTCTTCATGCCCCTGGAGATGATCCAATGGGCTATGAGAGCAGTGCAGAACGATGGAGTCCTGTGCAAAGTGTGGAGAAGATCCTCTTGTCAGTGGTTAGCATGTTAGCAGGTATGAGAAAGGATGGCATTCATAGAGACAACAGTGAAGAAAATTTGAAAACACAAATCACTAGACTTTTCCAGAATGTTTTATCTCCCAAGTTGTTTAATCTAGAAATTTCTAGATGAATGGTTACACAGTTGGTCTCAGTAATGCTAGGCTTTTTGCTAAGCTGCTAGAAGGCCAGGCTTAAAGGGCCATTCTTGAAAAGTTAAGGAAATAATTAAGAACCTTTTTATTTTAGTTATTTGGTCCTGGCTTATTTTGCAAAGTGTCACAAAATTAATAGAAACATTTTATTTTATTATTTTCATAATGCTTTTCATTAAAAATATATAGATTTAAATATTAAAAATACAATTGATTACAGTAAACATCGCAATACGTTGCGATATATCACATGACACAATCAAGTTTGACACCTGTTAAGTAGCCTGTTGTATACTTTAATATCAAAGTTACCATTGCATGTTATGTTACTGTGGCAAAGATACTGTCTAGGACAGTTTATAGTTATCATATTAGGCAAAGTAATGAGTACCCCTGGCTACTAGGTCTTCCTTCCAGCAATACAGCTGATTCTGTGCAGACCCTTTCAGAACAGTTGGAATTCTGCAGTGACTACAATAGAACAGACTCTTGTTTTCAACCAGATGCAATTCCCGCTTCTTTGTCTTTATCCACACTCTACCTCAGGAAGATCCTGTGTTCTTTTCCGCCCAAATCTTTTCCTGGTAGTATGGATTTTCCCCCCCATTACACATACATTTCTCCATGGATACTAATGTTTCAGTCCGTAATATTCTGCTTGTTCATGAAGGGAACAGGACAAATATTTAAAATTCAAGATATTTCCATTCTCATACAATCAGCATCTACAGGAAGTTATTTAAGTACATAAAGTGCCTCTTTAAGTGGTTTGAAATAAATAGCAAGGCATTTTCAGCAAACTACAGGTGAAACTCAAAAAATTAGAATATTGTGCAAAAGTTCATTTATTTCAGTAATGCAACTTAAAAGGTGAACCTAATATATGAGATAGACTCATTACATGCAAAGCAAGATAGTTCAAGCTGTGATTTGTCATAATTGAGATGCTTATGGTTTATGAAAACCCCAAATCCACAATGTCAGAAAATTAGAATATTGTGAAAAGGTTCAATATTCTAGGTTCAAAGTGTCCCACTCTAATCAGCTAATTAAGCCATAACACCTGCAAAGGGTTCCTGAGCCTTTAAATGGTCTTTCAGTCTGGTTCAGTAGGAATCCCGATCATGAGAAAGACTGCTGATCTGACAGTTGTGCAGAAAACCATCATTGACACCCTCCATAAGGAGAGAAAGCCTCAAAAGGTAATTGCAAATGAAGTTGGATGTTCCCAAAGTGCTGTATCAAAGCACATTAGTAGAAAGTTATGTGGAAGGGAAAAGTGTGGAAGAAAAAGGTGCACAAGCAGCAGGGATGACCACAGCCTGGAGAGGATTGTCAGTTTACGGCCATTCAAAAGTGTTGGGGACTTTCATAAGGAGTGGACTGAGGCTGGAGTCAGTGCATCAAGAGCCACCATATGGGCTTCCAATGTCATATTCCTCTTGTCAAGTCGCTCTTGAACAACAAACATCAGAAGCGTCTTGCCTGGGCTAAAGAAAAAAAAGAACTGGTCTGTTGCTCAGTGGTCCAAAGTCCTCTTTTCTGATGAGAGCAACTTTTGCATCTCATTTGGAAACCAAGGACCCAGAGTCTGGAGGAAGAATGGAGAGGCACACACTGCAAGATGCTTGAAGTCCAGTGTGAAGTTTCCATAGTCTGTGTTGATTTGGGGAGCCATGTCATCTGCTGGTGTTGGTCCATTGTGCTTCATTAAGTCCAGGGTCAACGCAGCCGTCTACCAGGAGATTTTGGAGCACTTCATGCTTCCTTCCGCAAGACGAGCTTTATGGGGATGCTGACTTCATTTTCCAGTAGGACTTGGCACCTGCCCACGCTGCCAAAAGCACCAAAACCTGGTTCAATGACTGTGGGATTACTGTGCTTGATTGGCCAGCAAACTTGCCTGACCTGAACCCCATAGAGAATCTATGGGGCATTGCCAAGAGAAAGACGAGAGACATGAAATCGAACAATGCAGAAGAGCTGAAGGCCGCTACTGAAGCATCCTGGTCTTCCATAACACCTCAGCAGTGCCACAGGCTGATTGCTTCCATGCCACACCGCATTGAGGCAGTAATTGCTGCAAAAGGGGCCCAAACCAAGTACTGAGTACATATGCATGCTTATACTTTTCAGAGGTCCGATATTGTTCTATGTACAACCCTTGTTTTATTGATTGCATGTAATATTCTAATTTTCTGAGATTGTGGATTTGGGGTTTTCATGAGCTGTAAGCCATAATCACCTTAATGACAAATCACAGCTTGAACTATCTTGCTTTGCATGTAATGAGTCTATCTCATATATTAGTTTCACCTTTTACTTTGCATTACTGAAATAAATGAACTTTTGCACGACATTCTAATTTTTCGAGTTTCACCTGTACTGTCTGAAGTTTCCTTTTTCTTCTCACATGTGGATGTAGGAAGACAGGTGTAAACAGATTACATCAAATATCAAGACCACTTTTACTTGTAATTCCAAGTCATAGTATGGCATGGGGTCTAAATCAAAACTTAAAAGAACTTCATGTAGTTACTAAGAAAAAACATTCTGATAGCTTGTATTTATTGTAAATGATTGGAGTTATTGTACTCCATTCTTTTGGAACAATGCATGAAATGAAATAAATTTTGGAATTCTTGATCTTGTGTATATTTTACTTCAGTGTGTGTGGTTCTTTTAATGAGAAACACTGTAAGCAGATGTTATTACTGTATCTTCTGTTGATCAGCTTTTATTTTCCCCCACTCTAGAACCAAATGATGAAAGTGGAGCCAATGTGGATGCTTCTAAAATGTGGCGAGAAGACAGAGAACAGTTCAACAAAATAGCCAAACAAATTGTCCAGAAATCACTTGGTCTTTAAAAAAAACCCAAACAAAACATCTGAAACTCTTGACAATCTTCTTGTTGAACATTTTATAGACAGAGGCTGATAGTAGAACTCTGAATTGGTACCAAAAAACAAATATTGCAAAGCTGTTCATGAATTTTTGCTCCTCCCTGTATATAAGCATGCATCAATCTTTTTACAGTTTGGAAGAAAAATCTCAATTTAAGACATACCAATAGATGGGATGCAAGTACAATGGAGCTGTAATCAGTTTCTGTTAGTAAAAACTTCTTAAGTCTCTGCAGTTGTATCTGTAATATCATATTGCCTTTCATCACAGTACCATTCATCTGTGTGGCTAGTAGGCTTGAGATGATCTGTGAATATCTTATTATTTAGAAAAGTATTGAAATATTGTTAGTGGAAGCTATTTGTCGCCAATGAGAATTATCCTTTTAAGGATTCTTATTTATATAATCTCATTTAATTTTAAAAAAGGAATGTTGACCATCAAAATGTTACACAATAAGGTGGACTATCTTTGTCCTTAGTTTCTATTATAGCATTCTGCTTGCCTAAATTAAAAACATTTTATGTGATTGGACATGAAGATATTCAAAAGGAATATAGTTCCTTCTGAAACAGAAATTGAACTTGATATAACTCCTATAAGCTCAGTGTTAGTTGGACAGTCATTCATAAAATAATATTTGATTTCTCTGATTGGAAACCCCACCCATGATATTTATAAGAAATAATAAAGTAATGTATGGCAGAAGAGCATTCTTCTTCCAAGCTAATCTCTAATATAAATACTTAATTTTTAAATCTAATATTGTCTACTCAGCAGTTCTAATGGAATTAGGATGACCATGATTTAGTATGAACTTTGCTGAAGGAATATTTGACTTCTAATATCATTCTTGTAATTTCCCGAGGGTAAAATTAAAGGGAATATACACACATTCACTATTCATTAATTTAGTTGGGCAGCAGTAAGGAACAAGTTTTTAAAAGATATTTCATATGCATTGCAGAAATCCATTACATTAAGAGGATGCCAATTGCCCTGTATCTGTTATTTTATTATGTAGTTCATATATATTAGGTAAAGAATATCTTTAACAACTGAATTAGCCTTAAACTATATTTAAATGTTTCAGTTCAATCAAATCATCATTTAAATCAATGTTTTATAGATTTGCAATCTGTGAAGGATTGATTCAATAAAATATCTTTTTGGAATTTACTTCATGTAATTTTTATAAGGTAGTCCTTGACTTAGAACAATTTGTTTAGTGATCATTCAAAGTTACAACAGTGCTGAAAAAAATGATTTATGTCCATTTTTCAGACTGGCAACCATTCCATTAATACAATTTATTAATGATTTAATAATTAATATTATTTAATTTAAAACATTCATTTAGTCACCCATCTTATGACAAATTCTGGCAGCTCCCAAACAAAAACTAAAATAACATAAAAATGTTCATTCAGGGCTTCCTACAGGATGTTGCTTACTCTTCAGTATGAATTTCCTCAATAAACACGTAGGAAAAGATGGATAGCCATACAAGTTCCCGGTATATCTACTGCTGTACTATGAAACTGTGTCATCTTGGAATGAGGACACTTTAATAAATTCTTTCATAATGAAGGCAAACTAATTGGTACATTCACAAGCAAGTTCAGAGAGCATCAAGGACCCCACATTCAGTTTAGGTCAGGGGTGCCTAACTTATGTCATCATATTGTGACTTTTTTCCGTTTTGCTAAAATGGGGGTGGGTATGGCCAGCGTGTGTCGCATCTGGCCTGCGGGCTGCGAATTTGGCATCCCTGCTTTAGGTTACACTTGGTTAAATTTGGTTATGATGATGCAATATCCCTGCTATTGGAAAGGCATGGTTCGATAGATTATTTAAAAGGAGGAAAACTCATTATCTGGTATCATTTCCCTGCCTCTGAGTACTAAAATTAGTAATTAATCAATTTTGAAATAAATTTAAAGAATGACATCATGATGTGTCTTGCTGTTCTTTCCTCACCCTTAAGGCTTTGGTCAAAAATGTGTGATGGTACATTCTGCATTGCAAAAACAACAACAACCCCCAAACCCCCATTGTACTTGTTCCCTGATTTTTTAAAAAATATATAATTAAAACTTGTTTCTTGAGAAAAATGGATGTACTATTACTATAATAGGCACATGAGTAATTTTTAATCTACATTTACCACCTCTCTGTTCGGAATGTTTGCCTAGGGTTTATAGTTTAATAATTGAAAAGGATATAAAGAATTCTTCTGCCCAGCAAAGGAAGCAGTGTTAGGACACAAGAACAGGCAAAATAATTAGACCTACATTCATCATATCGGTTTCTCTCCTTTGAAAGGAATAACTGCTGTATTAAAGGTGTTGGAACTACATAAAACAGTTGAGGCTTCAGGGCAGGGCTACTCCCTGTCTTGTTATATTTGGCCTGGCTTTCAAAAGTCACAATTATCTGCATGATGAGAAACATGTGTTGGTATGTTAGCTTTGAAGTTACTACAGGCACTGAAATTGACACCTGTCTGTTCTTTTGTTGAGATGTTCCCTTCATGTATACAAAAATGGAAAAAATATAAGCCCAAGAGTTATAAGTTTTATAAAAGTAATGGCTTGTGCTCTTTAGTTAATAGTATACACTGAATTGAAAAGAGCTAGTGGTAGCTAATAGGTTTATCTACTGGCCTTAATTGTACATTTTTTTAACTAGATGAAAACATTCCAATTCGTGTCAACACCTGAAGAACAGCAACTACAAGTAAACTTCAGTGACTTGGGGCAAATGAATTGTAGAGTATGGGTTACAGAGGCTTGTTTATTAAATAAATAGCCTGACAAAAAATGTCTTAAAGTTTAAAAATCCCTCCTTAAGTTACAAAGAATTCCTGGTATCAGAAAAAAATTGCTTGTTTTAAATTGCAACATAAACATTTTATGTAATTTAATAAAAGGGTTTTCCCCCCCATAAGAACAGTCTTTTTAAAATGATCTTTATCACAGAAAGGCAAACTTTTTAATTCACTGGTTAGTAGAATTAAAAGCCCACAAAATAATCAAAGAACATATAATGGACTCTTGCACAAATTCTCCTGAACAAAGACCATGTTTTAAAATAATCTTTCTCTAATTACTACTTAACATTCCTAGTTTAATGAGAGAGTGAATCTGACTTAAAGCTTCAAGGAAATCTTCATCTTACCTTTTCCTGGTGTTGGATTCCAGGGCATTGTGCTAATGCAAGCTTGTCTCAATGTTTACTTGGTTAGCTCTGAAGAATAGTGCTGGGTATTAGAAGTGATAACTAAAAGATTTTACAAGCAGATACTATAGATCTCATTTAAAATAGCCAGTCCTTGTACTGGTTGACTTTTCTTTTTCAAGTCTCTAAATCTATTTGTAGATATCTCTGAAATGGCCCTATAAGAGATGTGGCAATTATCTGGGTAGGAAAGATTGTATTTAGTTGTTCATAGAAGCATATAAATATTAATTAAGGTATTATAGCAAGAAATCTAGCCTGATATCTTCTACATTCCCCAGCCATCCTGACTAGTAGATTTATTTAACCATTAACCAATATATCTTTTTTTCATATATATGAAAGAACACTATTTGATATTACATCAATATCCTCTGCCTAGTGAAAAAAAAATAGTAATATCAAATAGTTTGCACATTTAGATACCATAGAATATGATTAGCATTTTATTGGAACTGGGAATAATCTATGATAATGATTTATTTCAGTTCTTAAGGGTGTTTTTTGCTGGTATCTTATGCTGCATAAGGAAGGTAATGGATGTGCTTAGCCTACAGTCTTTAAGTGAAATTTCACAAATTGATGTTTTAGCTACTTCAGACACATGGTGGTGCTTACAGCTTGAATAAATGAAACATTGTTCCTTAAAGGGGGGAAGAGAGGAAAACAACCAGCTGCTCCAGTTAACTTGGAAGATGCCATACTCTAGGACAGAGGTCTCATTCTCGCGGCCCACGGGCCAATTGCGGCCCGCAGGACGATATCCTGTGGCCCCCACCGTGATATGAAAGTATAACATTTGAGGATATTTTTTTAACATTTTTTGTGGAATCCCTTATGCGGCCCAGCCTCACCCAGACTCTGCCTCCAGCAGCCCCCAGGTAAATTGAGTTTGAGACCCCTGCTCTAGGAGCTGAGCTGGGCCCAGTTCTTGTGGGATTATTTTTTGGCTCCTGGTTGACCTTGATTCATCATCCCAAATCATTTACAGTATGTGCAACTGCATGAAATGAAGTGACTAATGAATTGGAACTCTTTACAGGTGAATTAATCTGTATGAAAAATCTATAGCAGATTTCTTTGTGGCAGAGGCAGCATGGAAAAAAGAGGTTAAAAGTTCTGGATTTGTAGTTAAATGATTTTATAACTTACATCTAATTGACACAAGCATGTTTTAGCAATTCTCTTTTTCTCTCCTGTTTAATTACTTGTATAGGCCACCTAGCTCCATTGTAACACTGAATTTAAAACAGTACAATCCAAACAATACAAAAAGAAATGTCCAGGAAATACAGCAACACAATTTCACAAATCAAACAATCCACAGGGGTTCACCATCTACTGGAACCCCAAGCCTTGAGAAAGAGCTAGTTTTCAGGGATTAATTTATATGACTTCACTGTAAACTGTAAACTTCTCTGGAGGGCATGTTATTGCAAAAGGCCTGGAGAAGACAACCTGCTTCTTGAGTCCCAAATAATGGGACTCCAAAGCAGAGGTGGTATTCAGCAGATTCAGACCAGTTCTGGAGAACCGGTAATGGAAATTTTGACTAGTTCAGAGAACTGGCAAATACCATGTCTGACTGGCCTCACCCTCATCTATTCTCTGCTTCCCGAGTCCCAGCTGATTGGCTGGGTCGTCTTTTGTTGCCCTGCTCAGGAGAACGGAGCTGGAAAGCAGGTTAGTGGGGTACTGAGGGAATGGAGATTTTACAGTAACCTTCCCCTGCCACGCCCACCAAGCCATGCCACATCCACCAAGCCACGTCCACAGAACTGGTAGTAGATTTTTTTGAATCCCATCACTGCTCCAAACATGCCAACTCTCCTGGGTTTGTACACTGGGTTCAGTTATTTTATTTATTAAGTTTATATGGTTGCCCAATTCACAATGTCTTTCAAGCCATGAAATAATTTAAAAGTGGTAAGGAGAACCTTGAATTGCACTAAGAAGGTTATTTGCAACTAATGCAATTCACAAAAGAGTAATGTTATGTGGGCATATTTTGGCATGCTCACAACTGCCTCTTGGTTATGGACTCCAAATTAGATCTGAAACTTCTTCAAAAGTCTTGGAAATGATTTGACTGGTCCAATTTATAAATGGTAGCCATGTGCTGCCTAATAATTTCTTTACTTGTCTTGAATTGCCATCTTCTGCTTTTGTCAAAAGATTTGGTTAAGTTGTTTGAATACTTTTGTAGAAAAAAATGCAAATCCTACTATCATCTTCTAGCATTTTCCCACAGGTGCAGGCTTTGCTTTTTAAACACAAACAGCATTTCATCCAATCAAATACAGTGACCAGGCCCAACTGTATCATGTCTGTATCAGTTGTATCCTACTACCTTTGCTTTAAGGGGGTGCAATGGCTCAGCTGTTAAAAACACTGAGTTTGTCAGCTGGAAAGGTGACAGCCTGGGTTCAAGACCCAAGTGACACATGATGACAGAGTGAGCTCCCATTACTTGCCCCAGCTCCTGCCCATCTAGCAATTCAAAAGCATGCAAATGCAAGTAACTGTAATAATAATAGTAATAGTTATTCTATTCTATTCTATTCTATTCTATTCTATTCTATTCTATTCTA